ATGGCCATCATGATCCTGGATTTTAAATAATCTGTTCAGTTCCTATAAAACCATCCCATAATCCCCAAATTACTGGCATTCAGATTATCTCTCTCAGAGTATTCTTCACGTTCTGAAGTGATACAAGAAATCTCTGGTCAACCATGTGGTCTGATTTTTGGCTCAAAATATAAGGTCAATGTATGCACACTGTATTTTCAAGTTTTAGATAAATAACAGCCCTGGTATTCTTAATCATAACAAAACTGAAAGCAGGCCAATGTGTTAAATAGAAGCATGTCAAGACACAGAAGACATTTTTTAAGTGTAGAGAAGTAGTGAAGCCCTGTGCTAGGGCTGACCTCAGAATACAATCTTTCTCTACTTTAGGACCACACATCTTGAAAGCTTTTCACAGAAGTCTTTCCTGATAGTGCATGGATTCTGGCAGGACACAAGACTCATTCAAGCTCTAGCACTGGTCTCTCTGAATGCCCTTTCACTTAATGTTTTGCTTCTGACCTGCTTGGGTCACTATGGTGAGAGAGCATGGTTGAAATAAAAATTACACTGAACAGTTGGAACTATATAACCTTGATTTATAAACTGGCAGTTGGTAGCCCAAGTTTATTTCAAGATCGTTTTTATTTAAGTATTGTGCAATATTTGTAAAGCACTTTGTTGGTTGCCAGCACTTAAAAATCAAGAGATTTTACATAAAATTCCAGATTCTCAGATTCTTTTTAAAAATTGTCCTGATGACAGGAATTGTCTAGGTATGGGTTTGCATTTTACTAGGCATGTGTGTCCAAGATACTGCAGTCCCCACCATGCCATATTCTCTCGACTGACTCACTAATACTACCAAATTTCCCTTGTAGGCAGTAGAGTTGCCAATCCTTGCTTAAACCCTTATCAATAATCTCAGCCCACCCCAACTCTAAGAACAATCCTATTTTCAACAAAGGTACCTAAAATGCCCCAGGTCAGAAATGCAGGGCCTCAAGAACAATTTTGTTTCTTTTCTGATCCTGATCTTATGCTACCCTTTTGGCAAGAGTGTTATCTTTTCTTGTTATCTCACCTCAATTCAAGCCCCATGTTCAAAAACTGAGTGGTTTACCTCTAGTCACCACCACAAACTCCACTTCTTTTGGACTATAGACATTTCTTCATGTTTTGGTTGCTCTAGAACTACAGGCTTACCTTGAAATACCAGCCCTTCATTTCTACTACTGAATGATCCCCAAAACAATTTGTTGTCCCTACGACAACAGCTCTCAACCCTGGCTGCACATTAGAATCACTTGAAGAACTTAAAAAATTTTTGATGCCTAAGTTATAATGCAGACCAATTAACTCAGGATCTTTAAGAGAATTCAGTGTTTTTTAAATTTCTCCATGTAAATCCAGTATATAGCCAAGGTTGAAATCCACTCTGGGAAAGTATATGGATTATATTCATCTTCCCATAAATCTGTCAGAGCCACAGATTTGCCTTTACTTTCACGCCCATCCTACTGCCAATGATGTCCCCTTTTATATGAAAATTTTTTCGTGTGTTTGAATGTCTCTCAACTCTGCCTGTATAGTAGAATCACAAGAGGAATTTTTAAAATATTGATGTCTGGATCTCAATTAGATCAATTAAACTAACTGAACCAGAATCTCTGTTAAACTATAGTTGAGAACTATAGCCTTAAATTATTCAGTCTAACAATAAGAACATTTCCAAGAAGATGTATCAGTCACCTATTCCTAAAATAATCTGGGTAACAAATAACCAGTGACCTACAAAATCTCAAGAGAACTACAAAAATAAGCACTTATTTCTCAAGTGTCTGCAGGGCTCAGCAGGGCAGCTCTATGGATACTGGCTTGGATTGTTCACAGTGGGAACTAGCTGATCTAGGCTGGATTCAGCTGGCCCAACTCAGCCTTGTTTCTTGTATCTCTTCTCCACCTCCAAGGACTAGTAAAAATGCCCGGGCATGAACTTCTCATGATGTTGACTGTGGCATAAGTAAACAAGGGGAAACATGGATGCACATTTCAAACCTTTCTTGTGTCATATCTGTTAACATCCTATTGGCTGAAGTAAATCACATGGCAAAATCAACATGAATGGAGCAAGTAACAATATTATTTCCATGGAAGTGAGAGGATGGGAGTGAATATTTCTGAACAATAATCTAATTTATCACAGAAGACATGAAGATATTTGTAACACTTGATATTTATGACTTTTTTCCTTTAATAATAAATAGTTCAAAAACTTAAGATGTAGGGGAGTGTGTCTGAGAATTCTTAGTTGATTTCACAATGGTTTTTGTGGTCTTCTCAGCACACAATAGCTACTGAAGTTCTCTATAGAGCTACCACCACATCATGTCTTTGCCACAACTCTAGATTCCTGGTCCTCAGTTCTGAGTATGTGTCAGTAGCACACAGTTCTCCTGTTCCACCCATTACTAAATTGAGAAAATGAAGAAAAGGAATGATATTCAAGACCACAGCCACCCATTAAAAAGGTCAAATCATGGGCTTATCCAGTGGCATAGAGCATTCTTCTCTCATTGTGAATTTTGAAAATCTGTTATGTATAATATAGATCATAGTTACACTTGAGAACAGGATAATGTATATGTCAAGCTGAATGCTCAAGAATTTATCCAGCAGCAGTGACTAGTGAAATCTTTTATTTTTGTATTTTTGGGACAAAATTCTTCCATAATTTGGTAGATTTTGTGGGGTGATTGTGTATCTGTCACACGAAAGATATTCAAAGATATTTAGGCTCCCTGGGACTAAGTGAAAGGAGTATCTGATTATGAAAATGTGGTAACTGGTCCTAAGATCAAGCACATACATTCTATTCTAGTTGCAGTCAAAATCAGGTTTGGGGACTTGTGATTAGCTCTTTTTGATGGTGGTGGTTTCTATAGAAAAATAAACCTTTCTATTGCATGCTTAGAAAACCAGGCATTATCACCACTTGATTATTCACTACTAGTACAGCTTGTTTCATTTATTAAAAGAAAGACAAGGTTGAAATTTGATCTATGCAATGCATGTGGCGGCTTTATGTGTTTCTGAGTAATAAATAGCCTCCAGTCGGTGTTCAGTGTTGACTTCCTAGGCTATTACTTGAAATCATTTTGATTTCTCTTTGAATGAGCCAACAACATCATGGGCTTTTTAGCTTTAAATAGGAAAACAGTGTATAAGAAATGAAGAGAAGGAATGATATCCAAGGAAAGAGAGGCTTTTGTTCAGTTACAGAAAATGGACGTGTGTCTCACAGTGGTCGTAGTTTAAGTAAACATAAACTCTGAACCAGAGATCATACCCATCATTTCCTTAGTGCTTGCAGCACCAAACCAAAATACAGTTTTATTTGGCTAACCCCAAAGTAGGAAGTGGGTGCCAGCCTTGAAACCACATGATCAGGTTTCAAGCAGACACTACCAGAGTTGTGCTTTTGTCTTAAGCAGGAAAGTCATAAAGGCATTACTCTTCACAGCACCATCCTTATGTTTAGCAAACAGATGCGACCATAACAACAGTTAATTTCAGAGAGAGGTCTGTAGGGTCATTGGCCCTATAAACATAGAATATGAGATCTCTCTGTATTTTAACTTTGCAGAGCACAGGGACACTTTTCAAGAAGTAGGAGAGAGACAGTGGGGACACAGGGCATGGCCGGTGATGGAAGCAATGATGAGGTATTCTCCCGTCCTCTAGAATTTCTATAGCCAACCGACCCAGACTCCCTGTCCAGAAGTAACACCTAAACTACTTCAGATATTCATTTTTTCCAAATGACGATCCATCAGTGAACAAAATGGCAACCTGTACTTTCAACATGTCACCATTTTGTCTTTGTTTTATAAGGAAGATTCTTCAGGGCCTGAAATCATTCTAATCATCTCAAGTTCTGTGAGCCTCAAGTCTAAGCTTGCTGCTTCAGAGATTTTCACGGTGTGGAGTTTTATTTATTTATTTACCATGGAGTTGTTGATTTTCCCCCCTCTCTGGAGCAGGGGAGGGCTGGGCAGATGATAGAGTTGGGTGCCCTGAGTTAATGACTAGCCCTATACTCACAAGCTCGTTTACTTTTGTCCTCACCTGACAACCTCAATGCTGCCAATGAGCAGGAATTAATTTTATTGAGGGCCACTCAGCTTCTTAAAAGAAAAACTGCTCACTTGGCTGGAAATGCTTTGACAGAAGGCAGAGCAGCCGGTCACACTCAAACACTGTGTCTTCTGGATTTGGGGGCAGAAGGGGAGTGGTGGATTCAGAGGGAGGAGGGGGCCAAGTAGTACTTTCACATGAGCCATTACAGGGTGGCTCAAATCACAGCAGAGTCTATCAACAGGCTCTTGTGCTAAAGACACAGCCCGCTGCCCTCTTTTCTGCTACTCTCCCTTGAATCTATGTGTTGACCCCCAGCACCCTTCCCAACTATCAACTGCCCATAAGAAGGTAATCATCTTATGGTGAATTGGAGAAGAAGAAAAGGCACTCTAGGAAAATGTTATGATAATAGAGAACTCCTCAGTGTTGTAACCATCTGGTGTGCTTCGGTAACAAAGAGGGTGATAATTGAGTGCCCAGTAACTTCTATTGGCCTCAGATAATGGGCACTCACCCTGATTTGTATTCTTCACAAGAGTAATTCACCATCATTTCACACCACATCTGTACCACATTTCCTCCGTCAATAAGCCTTACACATAAGTTACCACACTTAATTAAGTCTGCATCATTCTCCTCCTAAGAACAGAAAGGTTTGTGTGGAGGCCCGAGTGGCAAAAAGGCACAAATGAGATTTTAGTGACTCTTGTTTTGTGGGAGGGATTGAGATGGATGAGGTTCTGAACCTTGGTTATGCCACCAAGGTCCTGCTCTGGGGCGGGGCGGCCGGGCAGCGCCCTGACAGCTTTAGCTGGGCAGCAGCTGTGCCTAAGCTCAGGCAGGCGGCCTTGTGGCCAGGCGTGCACAGAGGGGATGGCAACCCCATTGTCACATAATCTTGCTTTTGAAAATGTGCTACAATGGATTTGATCTGATTTCTAAGGTGCTGTCACCAGAGCATCATTAAAAGTCCTTTAAGAAAGGAGAATAGACTAGATCACCGAAGGCAGCTTTGTCCCCTCCTCTCTTCTGTGCTTTTTGACGTGCTTTCCCTTCCAGCTGACAGAAGGGGCACGGCCTGTAAGCTCCGAACAATTAACACGGATCATTTTATTTTCCTTTAATCAACAAGACAAAGTTACTGGAAGAATCAAAGCAATGCTCTTTGGAAGACAGGAGTTTTAACTCTTTACTTCACCATCTTGGCGTGGACTGATTCCACATTCCTATGGTTGGCCCTACGATTGGCTCTACTAAAAGGTTTGTTAGCTGTTCTGTGTATGTGTGTGTGTGTTTTCTCCCTGAAACTATTCCTAGAGGCTGAAGGTTTCCTCCTTCTAGAGCCCGTGGGGGCAGCAAACAGAGGGAAAGCTGAGCCTAATGAGAACGACATTAATCAACAATCTAAGTACCAGTGGATGAAAGCAGAGACTCTCCTAGTCCCCCAACTATCTTAGTTATAAGTAAATTAGCAACTATTTTTCCTCCCTGTAAATGACAAGGAGGGAGCATGGGAAACTTAAGATATTTCTCATGACAAGTGTCCAATACTCTGAAGGCTCCTGGGGGTCGCCTCCCACACACAGTATGCCCTTCATTTGTTTATCTAAATGCTGACAAATTGCGGTATTTTAACAGCCTATCTGTGGGCTTGGCTTCATTTGCATGGCGTGCCTTCTATCTTTGAGCCGATAATGAGGCTGGATATAAAGCCCTCATTGAGGCCTCTGCAGAGCCTGACAGTGATGAATATAGAGCAGGAGAATTAGGTGGTTTAGAGAAGAATATGCTTTTGTACATGGCCCCTATCCTTTTATCTTCCCTGCTGCTCATTTTCAGGTCTTTCAAGGAAACTGTCTCCCTACCCTTTCTAGCCAGTGTCTTTTACCTCCCTTTCACTTTGAATGGGCACCATCTTCCAAATCGTCAGCTCAGCCTTGTGCTATTTTAGTCACCATAATTATCTTCCCGTCTTATCCTATGAAATGCAAGAGGTTTCCTTTCACTGTGCAGGCCACTGCAAAAAGCAGGAAAGCATTGTCCCAGGAGCAGTGGGCCCCTCCACCCACTGGATTCTCAGATATTCTCTTTTGCATTGTAGAACCCAGCCACCTTCTTTCAGAAACACTCAGCCACTGTCACCAGACGGAGTTGTCACTGAGCGCACTGTGGAGGTGTGGGTGATGTTTGGGGAGTTACAGAAATTCAGAAATCTTCAGAAATTCAGCATTTGGAAAGCGTGTGCTCAAGCAGCTATCATTTCAGTTGATAATGCTTACGTTTTTAAGTTGACAGAGAGCGTTTAGCTTGTTGAGAGTGAGTGATATTACATAGAGGCTTTCTCCAGGGAACAGTGGATGCTTTCCCATTGTAGAAGGCATTCCTCAATGTGATGTGTGGGAATGAAGCTTTTGGGGATGAAACAGTGGGCTAATCATTATGTTTGGAAAGGTTCTTCTAGATGGATCTGGCTGATCATTTTCAAAATAACGGAAAAGACCCAGAAAGTGGCGTGATTTGTTGAAAGCCACTCAAGTCTGTGAACTAACTCCATCTCACAAAGGGTCTAGGAAAGAGCACAACTAGGTGAGTGGGCTCACAGAAAAAAATATAGGCTGTTGCTTTCTACTTTAGCTTAGTTTCCCAAAGCAAGGGTCCCCAATCCATTTCATTTTGAGATGCCCTAGTTCATAAAACAAACCACTTTTTGCTAGGCTCCCTTATAAGTATCATCTGTAATTCCCAGGCCTCTGACTCCCTCAGCCCTGGTTCTTGGATCCAGGATTCAGTCTCCCTTATTCTCTGATAATGAAGTTGGTAATTCTTATTTTGTCATTCTGCCTGGTGTCCTGATTAGGTGGCTCTTTGGCTGCACCCTGAAATCCTAGTTTCTTGCATTCCCCTATTTTCCTCTGTGCTCTGTCCAGTGGGATGGGCAAGATCTCATATCTTCTGGAAGTCAATGAAATGGTCAGAAAAACTATCAAGCCAATGGGCAAAGAGTCTGCTGGATAATGGCTGAGATTCCATCCAACTTTATTTCGTGATACCATAAAATGCTAAACGTTTTTGTAAATGCTTAGATGTCTGTAATAAATTGACTTCTAGGTCCTCATATTTTTTAAATGACAGACTTTACTTTCTCCAAATACTAACTTAATATATACTTAACATGCATAAGAAGAAGGTAAATACTAATAACTTCACATATAATGATAGGTTTGTGTGCAAAATTGAGAATTGTTGTTACTGAAAAGTACTCAGTTAAATTGGCTAAGTTGGAAAGTCAAATGCTTTCCTTGTTTATATTTTCTGGGTGCCAGAATCCATGTATATGTGCAGTATAGGGTTGAACAGAATGGAAAGCATCCCTTACTATCTCTGTAAGTTAGGAAATCTGCTTAGCTTCTCTGAGTCGTTATTTCTTCATCTGTAAAAGATAGGTAACAATATCTCTCTTAAGATTGTTGTAATGACCCAGGATAAGGTATTATAGTTACAAAACATAGTGCCTAGTAAACAAAGAAGAGTTTCTGTAAGATTAGAAGCTTACTAAAGATACAGTGTCATGACTCTGGTGGTGTGTTAGTCTAAATCTTCTTGGTAGCTTAGGAGGAGAGCAGCTGATTAGTTTCCACTATGAAGTTGGATTTGCCATTTCTATGTTTAAAACCCAAGGAACTGCCCCTGGCCCTGCTTCGAGGGCCATGGGGAAAATGGTGGTAAAAGCCATCTGTCTTGCTGGAATGCAGAACTGACTGATACAATTTTATGCATGTGTTCCTTGCAAGTCAATGGTTGGGGTCTGCCTGAGTCTGGATATACTGTTCCCTATAGGCATGTAAGAGGACATATGTAGTAGCATTTAAGTGTTAATTTTTGTTTTGGAAAGAAAGGAATATTTGCATTGAAGAGGTCATTAAAAACACAAACTGAATCTGTAATACAGGGAAGATAATAATAATTCTCATGTTCAAGCATAACACTAACCCCGTCGCCTGTGGAACTTGAGAGAGTGTACATACTTACTGGCCCCACTTAGAAACAAAGAATATCCAAATCATTTGAGAATGCGTCATGGCAAAACACATCCTCATGGCTAAAACAACTAGGTTGTTCATTCAGTTTATTTCTTTATCAATTATGCAACAAATCACTGATCTACTTTAAAATATGATTTTTTTTTTGGTTCTTCACTTAAACAGTCCATTTTCTAATGTATCCTGCTATAAAGTGAAGCAAAGATCAACAAAATATTTACAATTGCTTGAGTGGCAAAGCTACAAAAAGGAAACCTGAGTTACAGCTTTGTTCCACTTTTATAGCATTTGTGTGAGACGTTATCTTCAGATGACAAACGACATGATCAGCCTTGAGCAAAAAGAGGTAATTTTCCTGCTGAATCTAAACCCTGCTAGTTTCCCTTACTATCTGTTTTCCCTTTCTTCCCCAGTAATAAATAGAATCTCCAATTAAGCTGGACAAATGGCTTCCTGGATGAAGACTACAATTCCCAGACTTCCTGGATAAAGACTACAATTCTCAGACACCTTAGTCCAGGTGGCTGTGTGGCTAAGTTCTGCTGAGAAGATGTAACTGGAAGCAGTGTGTGCTCATTCTTGAGGTATCTTTTGACTTGTCTTCCTTCTTGTTAGCTGGGATGCGGTAGGAAAAACAAGAGTTTCCACAGTGCCCATAGTCTATAGACCTTGTAAATGCCATCCATATAGAACAACAAAACAGAAAAATGTTTGAGGTCCTAACAGCAGGGAACATACCATACTGAAATTTTAGGACTTCTTTTTGTTGGAAATGTGTACATGTCAAGGAAAAGACATACTTCTGTTTGTTTAAGCTTCTGTTAATAGGGTTGTTTGGCTTTTTACAGATTGCACCTAATCTTAATTTGTACATTTGCATTCCCTTTGGAAATTCAAGCGATTATCCAGTTTCCACAATTTCCTGCAGCAGATCAAGCAGTGATGTGTCATGGGCATGTGTCTATTGACCTTCTGCGTAAGGCTCAGGGACCAACCCCAATGTTCAGGGAGACGGGGAGGAGGAACAACACCCATTACCATATGTTCTCCAGGTCTTACAAAATCCCACTGTGACCCTGAGTTCTGTAGAGAGACCACATCTTTAATAGTGGTGTTATCCCAAACAAAAATGGCAGAAGTTCCAGTTTCTCCTCACTTATTGTTCGATTCACAAGCACTGTGTGGAACCCCTGGCTTCTGGTGAGCTCTATGATAAGCAGTATCTAAAACATATAGAAGACATAGTTTCTGTACCTAAAGTGCTTCAGTGTGAAAGTCAGAAAACAAGGTTGCAATTGAAAATAATAGGAACATAATTGAATAGTGGGATATAACATGAAGCAAGAGTTTCTGAGGTGGGAAGTTGTCAGAAGTGGTATCACATAGAGGCGACACCATAAGGGGATGTAGAAGGATCATACAGTAAATGGGGTAAAGGAGCAGAAGTGTAAAGGCAGGAGGAATCCTCCCGTTTATTAAGTAGCCTAATGTGCAAGGCTGTGCTAGGTGCTTAGATGATAAAATTATGGGCAAGTAAATTTTACTTCTCTGTACCTTCATTTCGTCATGTGCAAAATAGAGATAATATGGAGTTCTACTGAGGAGTAAATTTATTAATGCATATAAAGCACTTACTTTATAATAATACCTGGTACATACTTGTGGATAAAATGAGAGTTCCTGTGGCCAGGAGTCTCACCTGGCTGTGGTTGACTAGCTCACTGCACACCTGTGGGCAGTACATGGCTGTTGACTCTATAAAAAGAGCTCTGCCCGGTGCTCTGTGCACACCATGGTGGCAGGGCTGTGAAGCTGCAGGAGAGCAGAGCAGAGGCTGGAGTGGTGGCAGCGCTGAGGACAGAGGCCCAGAGGATGGCTGTGCCAGATGACTGTGCAGAGAGGCCCGGAGGACGGCTGTGCAGAATGGCTGTGCAAACGGAGAGGCCCAGAGGATGGCTGTTTTAGATGAACTCAAAGCCTAGTGAGGGTGTCAGCATGGAAACAGTGTTAATGGTAGTACAGTGAATGACCGATATTAACAGAAGATGGAGGCAGCACTCTGGAAAACACAGGAGGGTGAAATGAAGAGTGAGGAGGAAGCATCTGTGATCCTCCAAAAAGAAATCATACTAGAACTTAGACTTGAAGAGGGGTTTCTCCAGATAAAGAACAGAATTCCAGGCTGGGGAACAACCTGTGCAAAGGCAAGGTGGATAAGCTAAAGTTCGGCATGGTGAAAAATGCCGATGCTACTTGAGCGCACAGCCAGGAAGATGTCTGCCGGGTCACATTGGTATGAACATAGTGATTGTTCACGACCGGCCTTCTCTGATAGGGCCACAGCTGTTCTGATGGCCTAGCGCCCATGCTGAACTGGTTGTTCTTTTGAATATCATCCCCCCCAAAATGGGGTGGGAGATGACAATGGGAAACATCAACCAGGCTTTGTAAGCATCAGTAGACCATCAGGAGGAAGCCCAGATGACTAGTTCACTACTTCCTGAAAATCAGACACCCACTTCACAGAGGCATTTCCTGCCCCCCTTTGTTCTCCTTATTCTCAGTGATGTTCTTGAGTGAAATTTTCAGTATCACCTAACTGATATTGGATAAGCAATCTGTACACTATAGCTGGTGTGCTGGAGAAGAGTGTAAACCAGGTCACATGCCACCGGGAAGATGCAGAGATGTCGCATGCAGATGTGATGACAACAGCAGAGCTCATGGAATTCCCATGTGCTCTGTCTTCCCCACCCCACCCAGTCCACATCTGATTTGTTCTTACTGATGACAGGTGAACTGAATGATGGGTATCACTTCTGGTCAAGTGTTCAGAGAGAGTGTGTGTTCTCCATATACTTGCTTCCTCTGCTGTGTCACCATGGGGTGCTGTGTGATAGACACTTTCGTGGGGCATGTAGCAGGAATAATAAAGCTTTGTTAATATTAATAAACTGTATTTACAGTGTTAATTTGTAACCACAACATAGGCTGGCATTACCCTGACTAATGCCAGAAGTGTAAACAGAAATGGAGTGTTACACATTGTCATGGACTGAATGTTTGTGTTCCCCGAAATTCATATGTCGAAATTCAGCCCTCTAATGTGACGGAATTAGGAGGTGGGACCTTATGGAAGTGATTAGGATTAGATGAGGTCATGAGGGTAGAGCCCTCGTGAAAGAGATTAGTGACCTTATAAACCTCACAAGAGTGTTGCTTCCTGTCTCTGCACTCTGCTATCTGACAATACAAGAAGTTAGAAGTCTGTAACCCACAAGAGGGTTCTCACCAGAACATGACATGCTGGAACCCTAATCTTGGACTTTCATTCTCCGGAACTGTGAGAAGAAAATTTCTTTTTTTAATCAGCCACCCAGTCTCTGGTATTTTGTTATAATGTCCCAAACTGACATATCAAAACGTAAAATATGTAGCTTTGGCTTAGTGACTGGTGGTATATAGTGATGAAACATATCAGAGACTAAAAACATGGCAAGCCATGTTTTTCAGGAACAAAAATGTGGTGAAACTGTCATTTGAGGAAGTTTTCTTGGTACTGGACAATGTGGGTTCACAGGAAAGACACTGAAAAGCATAACCTTAGATTTGCTGTTGCTTTTTGGTAGCTAGATTTGACAAAGGGTCAACGATTTGAAAGGGGATTTTGGAGAGAATTGACCGGTGCATCTGCAGAACTGAAAGGGAACAGAAATAGTACAGAAATGTGGGGCCTTCCACTGTGAGAGAAGCTGGCTTGGAGACCAACCCCCTCAACCATTGTGGTTGTGACTTAAAAGGGGTTTTAGTGCCAGTTTTACCAATAAGATCTTTTAGAGCAAAGAGTTTTTTCTAAGTGTGATCTTCTCACTGGGGCCAACAGCCTCAGTAAATGAAAAGCTAGAGGCATCTTCTGAGAAGATGAGGAAACAAACATTATATTTAGAAGAACTGTGTGATGACAGATATATAGAACTTACTAGAAGCAAGTGCATTGGAAGCCTACTGATATTTTGACAAAATTCCACTGCCAAGGGAACTATGAATTCTCTCTCAAAGCATCTGTGACTACTGAAGTCTAAAACAACTCTGTGTCTTCTAACAATTCCTGGTCAGGAAACAGGCTGAAAAAAACTGTGCAGTCTCAAAAGACAGCATATTCTCCAGTGCTCATTAAATGCGGTCAAGGAATATAATGGACAAATAAGAATATCCTGGAAAGAGATCTAAGGACCTTGGAGAACAATGCCTAAGGAGTTTCCCCCAGAGAACAAAAGCAGTGTCTGGTCAAGTAATGTTCTACACCCCCAGATCCTTAGAAGTCTGCCCAGAGAGAGTAGAAAAATGGCTGCTATGTGTCTTCTCTTATTCCTCTTTATTGTAGTTAATCTTATTTTTCTTGCACCATTATGGAATGGGAGGTAAGCAGAAAATGTTTAGTTCATAAGTTTGTTGACTAAGAGTAGCCATATTTGGTTACAATCAAATAATTGTTAAGAATCATATGCATAGTCTGCATTTTGATAAGATGAAATCTTAGATCATTTCTCTTGGGGGACCACTGTTTTCTATATATGGGAGTATATCAGGTGGAATTCCTATACGTAAGAGAAGGCAACCTCAAATTAGGAAGACTGAGGAAGGTTTATTGATAAAAGGATTAGTTACAAAGATGTAGGTAAAGTATTGAGGGAACAATAAAGGATGGTGCAGAAACCTAGGCTGTTGTCATCTGTAGGCCCAGAAGGAGGGCAGTGAATGGCTTCCAGGGCCTGGAAGGAGAACAAGAGTGAGTCATTTAGGTCAGTTCAAAAGCCTCAGAAAGCCAAGGTGACCTCACTGAGAGAGAATCAGGGCATAAATACCCTGACCTCATTTTCCCCCTCCTCTTAGGTCTCCTGGGCCTTCCTCTTTAGTAATCCCAGCTGGAATCCAGTGGGTATTGAAGCCCTTTGATGTAGTCCATACTATTAGCTTCTCTCGGCAGAGAGCTGGGTAATGAAGGAAGAGGGCAGAAGTGGAAGACAAACAGAAGATACAGGAATAGGAAAGAAGGGAGAAGGTTATTGACTGACCAAAATGCAGACTTGAGGCATGTAATACTACTCACACCCTCTTCCACAAATTCACAATTGAGCGTTTTCAGTCAGGAAGAAACATATCCTTTGAGCAGCAGAGACTTCATGATGCATGTTGCAAATGGGTAGAGTTCAGAGCTTCAGCAAAGGATCAGCAACCTAGTCATTCAGTAGGTAAAAGCTGATCTGGGCCAGCATTCAAAGTTCATGACTCATTCCAAGGTATCATGTCTCTGGCCCAGGACTAGTTGTAGCCTGATCAAAAAAATAAGCAGCAGGAAATAGAGTCCATGAAGTATGACAGTGGATGAGCACCAGAAAGTGATCATTCCATGTTCTCCACTGACCACCCTGCTCACCTCTTGACTGATTCACTGCATTAATGGTGCCAATTCTTTGCCCCTCTCTATGGCCATGTTCTTTACCATGTGACATTGCAGTTCATCTCACTAAAGAGATGGGGTCTGTTTACCAACCATTGAATACAGGCTGTCCTTGTGATCTGCTTTAGCCAATAGAAAGAGGCACAAGTGATAACATACCAGTTCCAAGCCTAGGCTCAAGAGGTCTTGTGTGTCTGCTTAGGCTCTTCTATGTCTGCTATCACCATGAGAGCATGCCCTGGTTAACCTGCTGGAAGATAAGAAATATCTAAAGCACAGCCATGTCACTCCGTCAAAAGTCATCATGTGTTAGGCAACAGCTGACTGAACCCCACACATGGGAGCAATCCCAGGCAAGATCATTAGAGATTAACCGGCCTCCAGTTGGGAGATGTGTGGACATAAATGGTTATTGTATAATAATTGAGGTTTTCTGGTTGTTATTACAGCATTATTGTGACAATAGATAACTGATACATTCTCTCATTCCTTTCTAGCCACATTGTATTAAATTTTAATAAGGCTATTGTTGTACTTTAATGACAGCTTTGACTGCATGATGGCTTTAGGCCTAACTCCCATGAATCCCAATTTTCACAATGCTGCTTTTTTAACTTCAGTCCCTGTAAAAATTGTTTTAGGCTCTTATTCACACTCTGCCTCTGTGGTCACTCTTTAGCCTTTAGAATCGATCAGTCCTGCATTTAAGTTCTAGTTTTGCCTTTTAGCAGCTACCTTCTTGATAGATGAATTAAACTTCCTAAGCCTCAAACTCCTCTTCTATAAAATGGGAATAAACTATTGTGAGAACTGAATGAAGGAACATAAGAGGCTTTTAGCATTTTAACATTGGCTTTCTCTCATTGGTAGAGAAACTCTACACTTAACCACAAGAGAAAAGATTACATCTACTTATTATCACACTTGGAGATAAAATGTGGCATGTAAATCCCCAAACTGCATGGAAGGGATAAGATGGATTGTGCTTACAACCAGAATTTTTATTACTGCCTATTATTTGTTGCATCTTTTTCAGGGAAGAGCAGTTTTACTGAGGGTAACTTAATGAATAAAAACAAAGGGGCCAGGAATCCTTAGTTTATGTATGATTAGTGTTTACATAGTCACATGAGGGCAGCATTGCAGGTTGCTTAATGAAGCCCACAAAGTTTGGAGCAGGCAATTCTGTGCTGAAGCTGGTCTGTACCTGATGGTGAGAGTCCACTGTTCACTTTTTTTTAGCCAGTTGTTACCTACAGTTGCTATTAAAAATTAAATTTATAAATTTACAGTGAAATGTTAACATTAAAGACAAAGGTAGTAAATACTCAAAACTCATTATGTCCTAATTTATTTATGGTCTTGAGGTTATTTGCACTGATTGCATGCTGGAAAATACTACATAATGGAGTGCTGGTGTACATCTCTACCCAGCTCCAAGTCCAGGGATGCCACATTCATCCACTGAGATTGGCCAGAGTACAAGTGTAACACCATGGAAACCAGCAATCCTACAGATCAGGGCTTTTTGTTTTCAAGCCAGTGGGTAACAGTATATAACCACCCAGGACGTAAGTGGGTGATACCATCAGCTGCACCTAGAAAACACTATTTTTTGTGTACTTGTTCAGAAAGGCATTACCCCCCAACCCCCAACCTACTTTTGCCATGATATAATATTAGAAAGTCTTCTACAGGGAAAATTTTCTTCTTCAATGATATAGTGAGTCAAGAGAAAACCATCAGAATTACCTCCAGAATGCGTTCATTGTCATGCTGAGCTACCTCATGGTCTGGCAAGGGGGAGAGTGAGAAAAGTGGAGCAAGGATGAGGCAATCTTAGAAACGTGGGGCAAATATTTTCTCAGGATTCTTCCATTGATCTGATTTCTTGGCTGACTGTGGTGTGGAAAGAAGAGTGACCTGGGCAACAGGAGATGAATTTCAAGCACCGTTTAGTTGCTACTGCATTTGTGGGCTTGTTCCAGCCATTGTCACTCTCTCTTCAGCTCTACCCATCCAGAAAATGAGAGGATTGCATTAGATAATATGTAAGATCCTTTTTAGCTCCCAAACTTCATGATATTTGGTTCATACAGAGAAAAAACAAAAACAGAAACAGGAAGAAGAAACACCTCCTTAATGCTCTCCACTTCATCTCCTCTAGTCTTTATAAATCTTTACTGACAAAGACAGTTTCAAAAAGATGTGTCCAGTCTGAGGTGAGCTCTTCTCTATAAGGACAGAATTTAATATGATGAGAAAGATTTTTCAAAGGGAGAATGTGACCTGTACCTCCCAGCTTCTGATTTTGTTACAGGTCATCTGAAGGGAAAACTTGGACCTTTCATGTCCCTGGACAATTTTAAAAGAGCACCTAAGCTGTACAGCAGCAGGTGGCCAGGGAAAGGCTGCCTGTCTACTTGAGAGATTGCAGGTTTCTGGAAACACACCCAGCAGGGGGTAGGAGTGGCAGAGATGAAAGAGATGGAGCCTCAGGTTGTTTGCTAAACAGCTCCTTTGGAACTGGTCAATGCCGGCAGCCCCCAGCTCGTCCCTGGCCTTCCCCACCACCGCCTTCCCGCCCTGAGGCTGCAGCCACCCCTGCCTCTGCCTCCACTTGGCTGAGGTGGGCCAGGGCTCCCATCACCCCTCAGCAGAGCAGGGGACACTCACCCTGAGTCACACAGGCTGGAGGGTCTGACCTGAGACCACAGAACTCTCACCACACAACGCTGGAGTCTGAGTCAAGGCCACAAAGCAGGACAGTCAGACTTTTGCGGTCAAGTTCTCTTCACCTCCTCGATTCCCAAACCCCCTGGGTGTTGGTCCACCCATCCAGAGAGCTCCTGGTGGTGGGAAACCTCAGAGCCCTCGGAGGATTCCAGGAGAAAGCAGTAGTTCAGGACAGAGTGAATTATGCATCAAGAACAAGCTGGCACAGTTCTCTCAGATGAGAAGTGCTTCACACTTTGCCAACAATCCCTGACATCCATGGGCTTTTGACCTCTTGTGATTTCGTGTCCCAACTAGACTGTAAATCCCTGAAACATCCTTGGTTTATGCTTCTTCCAATGTCAGTTACAAAGGGGCACCGAGTGGGTATTATGATGTGATAAATGTTTCCCCAGGGGGCTGTGCTGCTCCAGCTAGTGATACCTCCAATACGGTCATCACCTGCCTGGCAGCATGGCAGCGCCAACCAGGATTGCTGGTTCAGCCCCCCTGCCACAAATGAGGTCTCTGTTTCTGTAAACTCACTGGACAAAACAAAATGCCTTATTCACTAAGGTAACCCCTTTTTTCTATTTGCTTTAGTTCTATGATGGAACATATTCCTATTAGTTATACAACGTTTTTCAACATGTTTGCACAATTTTGCATAAAATCTGTCTAGTCCTGGAAGACATTTTTAGCTAATCTATTGGCTTTGATATACAGATCAGTTTTGAAGGTTTCTCCTAACCTCGGATTGATTTCTTCCTGAATCATTCTTTAATTTAGTAGTTCTCTATTAATTGATTCATTAACCTGGATTTAAAAATTAATCATCAGTTAATCTTGGCAATATAAATAGTTCCTTACCATGGATTTTTATAAGCACTGTATTTCACTCCTAGGTATATACTGAAGAGAAATGAAAATGTATGTCTACACAAAACTGGCACATAAATGTCCATAGCAGCATTATTCTAATAACCAAAGGGTGGAAAAACCCAGATGTCTACCAACTGATGAACAGGTAACTAAAATGGGGTATATCTGTATAATGGAATATTATTCAGCCATAAGGAGGAATGAAATACTGATACATGCCACAAGCATTAAACAGGCAGAGAAGCCAGACTCGAAGGTCACATATGCTGTTTATATGAAGCATCTAGAACAGATAAACCTGAGAGATGGACAGCAGATTCGGGGTTGCCTAAGGGTTGAGGGGAAAGGAGAGCTGACTATTAATGGGTTTGGGATTTCTTCCTTCGGGGGTGGAAGAGCTCTAGGACTGATCATGATGTACACAGAGTGTACAACTCTGTGACTGTACTAAAAACCATTGAATCATATACTTTCACTGGATGAACTGAATGGTATGTGAACTACATCTCCATAGAGCCATTACAGTAAAAAATTGAAGAAGAGCTAATTTATTAAACCTCTATTTTTATTTCATAAATTAGCTTTTCCTTTGTGTATTTATTATCAATATAAATTTTACTAGTGGATTATTAAGAAAAAGCATAGCAACGATCATCTTATTGACAAACAATAATAAAATACCATTATCAATAATAGTGATTACATGCTCTTTTAATGGATTTTAATGGAATAGCTTTTTATACAGAGCAATCAGGAAGTACTATTTTGTTGAATGGGTAGACAAGAGCTACTATTCAGTGCCTTTTAAAAATTACTGGCTTATATGAGAATTAGAGTCTTCTTAATGCCTCTAGAGACCTATGTGGCCTACTTTCTGTTTTTCCTATGCATCCTCTCCACCACCCTTCCTCCCTGTTCAGGGGTCTCCGGCTTACTCTCTCTGTACATGCCTGCAAGGCTCCCACCTCAGGTTCTCTGCCATGGCTGTTTTCTCTGCCTGGAATGCTCCTCCCCCACACACAAATATGGCTTCACACTCACTAATTCTATTTTCTCCCAGAAGTCACCTTCTCAATGGGGCCTCCCCTGACCACCCTAATTATCCTTGAAACATACTGAATAATCTACTTATTTATTATGTTTACATTTTCCTGTGGCCCTCTCCTTTCAGAATATAAGCTCTGTGAGGTCAGGGATCTTTGGCTATTGTGTTCCCCAAATCATCCCTGGCATGTACCACACTGCCTGGCACATAGTAGATGTTCAATTAATATCTGTTGACAGGATGAATGGACATAGGTGCTTGTAGCCCACTTTGAGGCAAACATTCTGTTGTTAGTTAATTTATCAATCAGTCCATCTCCAGTCCTCACTGAGACTAAATAACCAAAAAGAAAAATCAGATTGGAAAACAGGGACTATATGTTTGGAGAATAACAAGTCAGTCCTTTGAAAAGAAATTAATCTATAAGGCGAAATAAGCAATATAAAAATATTTGGGCTACATTTTATTATTCTAGTAAGACAGTTGATCAATCTCTCTGAGGTCTTCTTAAAGTTAACATCATATATTAATTCAGTCAGCCAAACAAATACGAATTGAATATTTTCTGTGTGCTAGGCACACGGGGACAGTTATGTAATTGCACAGCTTACACCGTAGTGGGGAGACCAATGTAAAACAGCCAAACAAGTATATATTATGCCGACTGGTGCTGACAGCTATAAAGACAATTCAGCAGAGTAAGGGACAAAGAATTAAAGTGGTGCTGGGATGGTCAGCAAAGGCCTGTCTGAGGTGGAAACATTTGCAGGAAGACTTGAGTAAAGGGAAGGAAAGCCTCATGCATATCTGCAGGAAGAATGCCCCAGACAGAAGGAGCAGCTAGTGCAAAATCCTGCAACTGGAACACAAGAGTATGTTCAAAGAAATGTAATAAGTGAAAAAGAGAGTGATAAGAAATGATGTAAGAGCCGTCTCCAGGAATTAAGTGATCATAGAGCCTTGCAGTCCATGGCCAGAGCTTAGCAGCTGTGTTCTTAGGGCCGAGGGAGCTTCTGCCAGGTTGAACTGACAGGCTCATTTCCACATTGAGTGACATGATCTGGTCTGAATTTCAGAAGAACTATTTTGACTTTGGTGATGAGAATATAAACAAAGAAATAAGATGCATGGTGTAAGAAAACCAGAGGGAAGTTTGGGGCCCTACTCTTATCTGAAAAGCAGCAACAGGCCTTGAGGGAAACAGCTCCGTTGGGTCTCCTCTACTGTAGACAGATCAGACCTCACAGAACTCCTCCTCCATCCTGAGAGCTGCTAAGCCTGGGCAAGCTGCCATGTGCCAGGAGCAAAAGACAGCTGTGTTGTAGAGAGTTCTGTCTCCTCAAAGGCAGGACCCAACACACCATGGGATATATGCCAATTCAGGATGAAACATCAGATCTCAGTTGCCCAAAGTAAAACATCGGGTCTTAAGTGGGTTTGCTCCTGTCTTAGATTGAGGTTCCCAAAAGCAGTCCCTGAGATAACAGTTCAATGGTAAAGAGTTTTAGGAGGAAAGCAAAAGAAATACAGATGTGGAAGAGGAAAAGAAGGGCAATGCATAAAGGGGGTTTCATTGAACCAATGACTACTATGAACAATTAGAACTTGGTCCTGCTGGAAGCTGCTGAAAAACAGTGTGATGTGTATGGATCTAACTGTGGCAAGGCAACTGGGGTGTGTATACACCAAGTCCTATCGGCGCCGTTCACCAAAGGCTGCCCCCAGGGCGTGTTAATTCCCCTTCACTCCTGGCCTGCCACGTGAGTTGCTAAGCTTTGCCACAGAGGACACAGAAAGCCCTTAGGCAAAGAGGAAGTTGGTTTCCTGCCCTGAAGGAATAAGGGTCAGGAGTATGGCTGGGGTGAAACAGTATCTGCTCAGGGCTATTGGGATTCATGTAGGCTACATACAATGCGCTTCCCCCACATTCACCCTCTGGTTTTGCAACTAGCCTCTTGTTGCTTCTGGCCTCAGGTACAGTCTCTGTGACAAGGGCAGGACAGGAGGAGGACATGTTTTGTGTTTAGGCCTGCGGGCCATCCTAGGATGGAATTCATATACTCTGCAGAGGAGAGAGTATTAACAGCAGTGATAATTTATGCTGAGCTAATCACAGACAAGTAGCTAACACCCTAAGAGGGTCTTTGGGGAACTCCGTCACAGAAAGGCAACAGTTTAAAGCCCAAAGTCACGTTATTTTCTGTTTGTGACTATTTCAGTGGAAAGAGGTATATGAGGACAGTGGCATTTTTCCCAGATCCCAGCAGCCAATGTTTTTCTCTGTTTCTCTCCCAATTAAGTATGTCCAGAGAATATGTGTTCTAAATGGTTTTACAGAAGGTGCTCTCTCATCGGCAGGCAAGGCAAATATGATTAGATTAAAGCATTGTCCTTCTGAGATGAAATTTTGATTCGATGCCTTCATTAATCTGGGAGAAAATTATGTGTAGCTGAGTTTTAATTAGATCCTGAAAGGAGCGTGTGTGCGTGCGCACTTACTTGGAAATGGTGACCCAGCTTTAACTCTGGTGGTACAAGCAAGGCTGTTATAAGGCAGAAATGACTTCATCAGGAACTCAGGAAATCCTCAGTCAAACTTCCAAATATACAAATAGATTCCTTTTATTCTACTGTGAATCAATGATGCCACGTCCTGTAATGAAGGATGTTGTTGGCCAGTTGACTAGGAGCCAACGATGCCTTGACTTTGTTTAAATGACTGTCATTTCAAAGTTCAGCATCTTAAGACTGGTAGTCACCTTATTTGGCAAACAATCAGGAGTACTCTTTCCAGATTTGTTTTGGGGTGATAGAATTTTCACTTAATTTTTACCTTAGGGTAGAAGATGTGTTAACTGCTTGATGACAGATACACAAATATTTGTGTACTCTAGGCAGGTTACTGTGCAGCCAAAAACTGAAATAAAGATTAATAGCTGGGAAAAAAACAATCCTACCATAGTAACTTGAACTAAACTGTCATTGAGCCAAAGGATTTTTTTAAGTTTTCAAATGTAAATATATGTGGGAATGGGTCAATAGATAACACTGGCTTATGATTCCTTTTTTGCAGGAAACCATATGCAACCATTAGTCTTTCTAAATATTAACTTCTCCAACTGCCCAGGTAACTGGCTCCAGGGGATGGCAGGACGAAATGGTCTGTTGAACAGGCACACGGGAAGGAAAGGAGTCATAGCATACTTAGGGATGTGACACAAACACTTCTAAAATCAGCAACTCCACTCTCTCAGACACACAAAGGTGTAAGTCCCCTAAGACCCAGCTGCACAGGGCCCGTGTGGAATCTCCTCCTTCGGATTTCAGAAGGAGGCACGCTGCCCAGCTTCCCCAGCTGCAGGAAAGAAGAAATCACCCTAAATGCTGAGATAATGCCTGAACTTGCAGTGTCTCTTGTCCCGCCTTTAGTCCACCCCCATTAAATTCTATCTTTGTTTTAGGCCATGACTCATGAGCCACCCCCACCCCTCAGTCAGCTGTGACTCATAGCAGAAGCCAGATAAACTGAACCCTCAACAGCAGGGGTGGAAGAGCTACATTTTTCTTCCTTTTTTTTTGCTTAGTGAGAAAAGTTAGGTCAAATGGTCAGGTGGTGGGAAATCTCCTTTGAGTGGTTGATTTGTGTGTGTGTGTGTGTGTGTGTGTGTGTGTGTGTGGTGTGTTTAATATGGGGAAATTCCTGCATTGGGTGGGGGATTCAGCTGGGTGTTCCCTTTTAAGGTAACTCAGTGATACTGAGGTTCAAGTTTCTACAATTGGAAATCATCTCTCTTTGATTATAAAAATGTCCTCACATTTTTTACTGCTCTGTATCCTTATCCTTTGCAATGTGTCTTTACAGTTACTCCCATTAAAGAATCTGTTCTCTCACTTCTCACATCTGGGTTTGGACATGTAACTTGCTTTGGCCAACAGAATGTTGCAAAAGTGATGCTGTGCCATTTTAGGGTCTAGGCCTCAGGACACCATACATTCTTGGGTTCTCTTTTTGGCCCCTTTGCTTTTCTGTGAGAGCAAACCCAGGCTAGCATTCTGGAGGATGACACCATGTGCAGCAGAGCCAAGT